AAAAAATTATGTTTATTGCACTTTAAATAAACTCAATTTTTAAAGAAGATTATGAAATTTCGGTTTCAGGGGAGTTCTATCCCATTTGTTGGTCAGCACAGAAAGACTGCGGTTGAGTATTGCCAATATAGATAACATAATTGATATTAAGAGAAGTTTTTATACAATAATTTTTAGTAATACATATCTAAATTGAACAAAAATCAGAATTGAATCAACATGACATTGATATTTTAAATACTGTAACTGATTGCTTATAGAAAAAAAATAAGTAAATAAATAAAAAGCATTTTTGGGTGGCCCCAATAATTTGTTATGTGACCTTAACCACTTCTTGGCAAGAGAGGGAACGAGAAATCTTGGAACCTTCATTATTTGACATCCAGATCTGATGCAGAACAATATTGATGATCCCCTGGCTCAGTTCCTTGTAGCGCACACACAACTTCTGAATGGAAAGCAAAGATAGATCGATACAATATTGATCAAAAGATTATAACGAGCAAAGGATAGCAAGCAAAAAAGATACATTGATACAATATTGATAAAAAAGATAATACAGAGTAACGGATAGTATCTTTGCTAATCTAAAAAGTGCTAGAAAAATTACTTATAGAAAACCTGCATGATGCTGAAAAACAAAACGATCGTGGCAAAAACTACAGAAACGATAGCCCATGGCTTAGTAAAATAGTTATGGATCAAAGAAGCTCGCCATCTCGGCCATCTCTTCTCGCAATATTCGTTGACATCTTTGCGAAGTCGTGCATAAAAGAGCTTGTAAGGACAGGGCCGAGGTGCCAAACCTCGGACTGCTACAGTAATTCCTTTATGACCGAAGTGAGGAATGAATCTGAAGCTTCCCGCTCAAATAACTACATGATAACGACAATAAGCATGTCCACACCTGATTCCTTATGATAAGCGACACAGCAAGAACGGTGGACACCCGTGCATCTGAATACCTCTCAAATTCCCGGTCCCGGAATTATCGTCTGGATAGACACGTCAGGCTCCGACTATCTTGCTTGGCATGCCACGTGGGTTCCTCATTGGATCCTATAAATACCCCCTCCGGGCCACATCAAAAGGTAATTGAAACCAACCTTAAGCTTTTCTTATCTCCGCCCTAAAGGTAGCCCCGATTATTGCTGACTTAAGCATCGGAGTGTCTACCCCGAGTTCCACCTCGGGGCTTTGCAGGTTATTCCGAAGTGCGAGCGCGGACTAAAGGAGGACTTCGGGTTTGGTGCAATTACAGAGCTCTTGTGTAAAAGTGTTATCACGGGCTCTGTTCAAGAAATTAGCCGTTTCCTCAGGGTTTAACTGTTATCAAGAATTCCTTCTCTGTTCATTAAATGCATATCATCTGAGGTGTCGACCAGGCAATCTAAGAGTATGGCGTAACTTGTCACCCTTGGCATGCAAAGAAGGCTACATTGCTCAAAGATGA